TCACGAGTTAAATTGTTAATATATTACCACGAAAAGTAACTGATTATTAATTAAAGTGGCTAGTACAAAGTGAATATACAAAAAGTGTACGTAACTTTCGGCCGATTTTCGAATCGCCTCCGCTTTCCGCTGTACCCCTCACCACATATTTAATACATATTAAATACATATATACATATTTGTAATATATATTTTAAATAATAAAATTATTTTAAATACTCCCGACTGTTGACTGGTATAAAAAACATTAAATAAGCTTTGAAAACTTATTTAAAATAAAAATTATCATTTTTATTAAAACATCTGTTTTAAATAACTTAATTTTTTAAAAATGAAAGTGGTAAAGAACGTTTAATCCTTTACAGAATTAAATTTAAAGAGTTAATTACATAACTGGTACTCAGTCCTTCATTTTTTAAATAGTTTTTTATAGGCTATAGTAATTTGACTTTAAATTATTTAAAACAGTGAAATCTAACCAATTAGTATTTTATCGCTTTGAAATGTGATTTGAACAGCACGAATCGTTTAATTAATATGATAATGTAATAATATAATGCACCGAAGATATACCTACGATATCACAATAAATAAAAATATATTGTCCGAAGTCGACACGTTAATTAATACGCCTCCGCCTCGCTTTCGCTATCCCCCTCACCTCACCGCTCCGCGCGTAGAACAATGACATTCGATCATCGTGGAGCATTTGGACTGCACGTGGTGAGATGAGGAGGGGAGGGTTGGGCAAATGCAACTTTCAGCTGATTTTCGAATCGCCTTCGTCTAGCTTTCGCTGTTCCCCTCACCTCACCGCACCGTGCGCAGAACAATAACATTCGACTGTCATGGGACATTTCGACTGCACGCGGAGCGGTGAGAAGGAAAATGCAACTTTTGGCTGATAACATATTGCGGAAATTTTTTAGAAAACTGTAATATGCAAATTGTAATCTGTTTTACTTATATGTATGTATGTTCATTTTGAATTTGCACCTTGAATGATCTATTAGTTACTTTTCGTGGTACATATTCAACATAGAAAATATACTTTATGTATGTTGCAGTTATTTTCTAGAACACTGTAATATTTTTATTGTAATCTGTTTTACTTATATGTAGGTATGTTCATTTTGAATTTGCATCTTGAATAATCTATCATTTACTTTTCGTGGTACATTTTAATATAAAGTGTTCTAGGTAGCACAATGTGTATTCTATATTAGAAGTTCTCTGATAAGGATCCAAACCGAGGATCGAAACGTAAGAAAAATTTTATATTTTCAATAAATCGTATCAACACACATTAACATCCTGTGTACAAGACTCGATTAGGCATTTTTCTATTTCTTTTAAATGATTATCTAATAATAATATATTAACCACGAAAAGTAACTGATATATTATTAATCCTAACATATCATTAAAATGAAAAGGTCAAGCCATGTTCAAAAATAGATCCTCGCAAATTAAAAAACCCAACAAATTTAAACCTTTGAAAACTAACCGCAAAAATTTGATCCTTCCTAAATTAAAACGATTACCTAACCACAAAATAGAAAACCCAATAAATTTCAACCTTTGAAAATTATCCCCAAAAATTTGAACTTTTCTAAATTAAAATGATTATCTAATAATGTAACATAATAATTTAAACTTTAATACTTTAAATGATATTATCTAATATAATATATGACCACGAAAAGTAACTGATATATTACTAAATGTGCCAGTTCAAAGTGCACATACATTATGTTATTTTCTATGTTATGTACCACGAAAAGTAAATGAAAACTACAAAAATTGAACCTATCAAAATTAAAACGATTACCTAATCACAAAATAAAAAACCCAATGAATATCATCCTTTGAAAATTGACCCCAAAAATTTGTACCATTCTAAATTAAAATGATTATCTAATAATGTAACCTAATAATTTAAACCTTTAATACTTTAAATGATATTATCTAATATAATATATTACCACGAAAAGTAACTGATATATTACTAAATCTGCCAGTTCAAAGTGAACGTACATATAACGAATATTTTCTATGTTGAATATGTACCACGAAAAGGAACTGATAGATTATTCAAGGTGAAAATTCAAATTGAACATACATACATATAAGTAAAACAGATTAGAATTTGTATATTACAGTTTTCTAGAAAATAACTGCAATATGTTATTCTTAGTGCACAAAATATAAAAGTTGGTTATTGAGATTTAATTTGAAATTTATACTAGACCGTACAATAAAAAATAATTGCTTGTAATTTCAGAGTATCAATTTGTTAATGACTCAAAAAAGAACATGGCGGCCTGCTCTCAAAAAACTTCCGATGGATGAAACAAATAGTTGAAGTAAAAGTTATGAAAATAGTTTAGATTAAAAGCAGCCTATCAAGTATAACTATCATAGTTATCATGTATGTTGTTTGTCAGTTGGTTCACAAAGTGCTACAAAATGTAACAGTGTTTCGATAATGATTAATTTAAATATTCGCTTTAACCATTGATTGGCAGAGAGAGAATTAAAAATTAAAGAAGAAAAATTCTACATTTCTACATAATTCTGTGTATTCACTTCGTTATAGAGCTTTTAAAGATACGGTTCTAATGCAATACTTTTTGTATTTCATGTGTTATTATACCTACTCTGTAATAGTTTTGACATTACTTTTGACATCGAGAAACTCATCAAATTTTGAGAGCAGGCCGCCATGTTCTTTTTTGAGTCATTAACAAATTGATACTCTGAAATTACAAGCAATTATTTTTTATTGTACGGTCTAGTATAAATTTCAAATTAAATCTCAATAACCTACTTTTATATTTTGTGTACTAAGAATAACATATTGCAGTTATTTTCTAGGAAACTGTAATATACAAATTCTAATCTGTTTTACTTATATGTATGTATGTTCAATTTGAATTTTCACCTTGAATAATCTATCAGTTCCTTTTCGTGGTACATATTCAACATAGAAAATATTCGTTATATGTACGTTCACTTTGAACTGGCAGATTTAGTAATATATCAGTTACTTTTCGTGGTAATATATTATATTAGATAATATCATTTAAAGTATTAAAGGTTTAAATTATTAGGTTACATTATTAGATAATCATTTTAATTTAGAATGGTACAAATTTTTGGGGTCAATTTTCAAAGGATGATATTCATTGGGTTTTTTATTTTGTGATTAGGTAATCGTTTTAATTTTGATAGGTTCAATTTTTGTAATTTTTCATTTACTTTTCGTGGTACATAACATAGAAAATAACATAATGTATGTGCACTTTCAACTGGCACATTTAGTAATATATCAGTTACTTTTCGTGGTCATATATTATATTAGATAATATCATTTAAAGTATTAAAGTTTAAATTATTATGTTACATTATTAGATAATCATTTTAATTTAGAAAAGTTCAAATTTTTGGGGATAATTTTCAAAGGTTGAAATTTATTGGGTTTTCTATTTTGTGGTTAGGTAATCGTTTTAATTTAGGAAGGATCAAATTTTTGCGGTTAGTTTTCAAAGGTTTAAATTTGTTGGGTTCTTTAATTTGCGAGGATCTATTTTTGAACATGGCTTGACCTTTTCATTTTAATGATATGTTATACTTATTATTCACCTTATGCGTGTATTAATAAAAAAAAGTTAATCCTTCCGGGACATTATATGAACATTTAAATTACGTAAAATTAAAATTACGACAATCTGGTATATTAACACCGCTAAATAAAATAACTATTAATCAGCCTTATGAATCTTATGGTAAATACCATATATAATCGATACTTCAAATTTATTTATTCCTGTATTCATTTTTTAATTTTTAAATATTATAATAAAAGTTATATTATGAGTATATAATTTTTTTCAGTTTTAATAGAATCTGTCAATTTAAAATTGGATTGGTTGAAAAATCATTTGGATCCAGAAGAAACTATTGTTGATTTTTGGATGATAACAATTCGAGCACGTCAGGATTTATTTAAAAAAAAATGTGAAATTTATTATTATTACGAGTCTTTCCCATGTTTAAAAATTAGTCTAGGTGCGAAATTGGTAAGTTTAAAAAAAATATTTTTTAATTAATTTAATAATAAACATTAATTTATTAGTAGTAATTATAAATTTGTTTTATAGTTAAAAAATGATTTTGATCAGTTATATCCTAATAAAAATGATACGTTTTACGATCGTTGGGATGTTATTCGAAATTTCCTAATTAGAACATTGCAAGAATGCAAATCTATCAAAAACATTTCTGATAAAGCATATATCCATCTACTTCCAACTTTACTACAACGTAAGTATAAATTAAAAATAATTACATATTTAAACATTCTTAGATGAGTCAATAAATTTGTTTTTAATTTTTATATATTTTATTTTACAGATAATAAAGATACGTTATTATTTTACTTACTGCCTAATTTAATTGAAGGATCATGAAAAAGAAAAAGAAATTCAACAAACAGTCAAGTATATAATTTGAATAAATTATCCATTCAAGAGCGACGAGATTCTTTTTTATTACATGTCCGGGTAAAGGACCTCGGATAAAACATATGGGAAATAGATCCCAGTCGATTTGGCTGAAATTTGAATATGATGTAGATAAAATGGTCCTGATCAAATGTTCTCATAGGTTGAAGGACCAATAATGGCTAGTTTCCGAGATATTCGAATCGAAAGAATAGAATAATGGGTAATTAGGTCTTAAAGCTGCAGCCGAAATATAAACATTCTCGGTTTCGTTGTGTGTCCGTGAATTGGTATTTTGTGTGACAACCATTTAAGAATCCCGCATAAACACACACACACACGCGCGCGCGCGCGCGCACGCGTTAATCATCGATATAGGCAATAAATAAAGTACGCAAAAGTCGCTGTCTCCGAAGTGAGTTTATTTTCGATTATTATCAATGTCGCTGTCTCCGAAGTGAGTTTATTTTCGATTATTATCAATGTTATACAAGAATGGTGTTTAGAAAGCTGCGTTGTTACGTCTGCGATGGAAGATTTGCGCCTCGTCTAATGACCCGAATTGACGGAGATGACAATGCTGCCAAAAGAGAAATTGCGATCAATCGACGAGATGGATTTCAAAGACCGGCATTAGAAGTAACTGATTTGACAAAAATATGCACCAACTGTAATCAATCGATTCGTAATGAAATTGTTGCTATCGAGGAAGATCCTGCCTGTTTAAGACTAAATGTTTTAACACAGACGCGAAATAGCACTTGCCTTATATGTGATAGAACTGATAATTTGAACGTATTATCAATCGAATGTAAAGTGAATGTTTTTATATCACACAATATTTTCATTCCACAAAACACCAAGTCTTGTCAACATCATTTGAATGTCGAAGGTATGCTTCTTGGGCCGCTTGTCCAAGGTTTACGTTTCATCAACAGGCCATATGTAATCAGAGGTCTTTATCTTCAAGCCTTCTTACAAGGACTTCGTAATGTGACAAATCAACCAAGAAAATTCGATGAAAATAATCTTTCAGATAGTGAATTTCAATGTCTATGTCCTATAAACAAACAACAGTTCGCAGAATTGTTCACTTTTTGTGATACAGTACCTTGTACTGGTGGTTACAGGTATGTACATAAAAAGGACCTTCTTATGTTCTTATGTAAAATGCGCCAGGGTCTATCGGATGAGTTCCTCAGAATTATATTTCAGTACCCGAGTAGGCGAGCAACGAGTATGGCTGTTGCTACAGTGCGACAGTCTTTAATGCTTCGTTTTGTACCACAGAATATAGGATTCGACGCTATAACCAGACAAGATTATATCGATAGACATGTGACTGATTTTGACAATATCTTATATAATGCAGAACCACAAACCCGTAGAGTAATTACATGCATTGATGGTACGTATATGTATATACAGAAAAGTAGCAATTTTAGAGCTCTTCGGCAGTCATATTGCGTTCACAAAGGTCGGCACTTAGTTAAACCAGTACTGATAGTTGCTCCTGATGGATACATTTTAGATATCCAGGGACCGTACTTTTCGGATAGTCGCAATAATGATGCTGCGATACTACAGAATGAAGCAGATGCTGATCGGATGTTAAGATGGTTCCAAGAAGATGATATTGTCATTGTTGATAGAGGATACAGGGATGCCATTGACCTTCTAAGGCGTTTGGGCATCACATGGAAAATGCCAGCGCTTCTTCCACGAAATCAATGTCAACTCAGTACCGATGAAGCGAACGAGTCCCGTCTTGTGACAAAGCAAAGGTGGATTGTCGAAGCGAGAAACGGACACCTGAAGTTAATTTTCAAATTCCTACAGCAGACAATATCGATGCATCATGTTCCTAATCTTGGTGATTTTTGTAGAATAGCAGGTGCTATCATAAATAGATACCATCCCACTATCGAAATGGAAGGAGCTGATGCCGAAAAAGCTTATGAAATGCTTGAGAAAGCTAAAGAACCGAACATAGTACAAGCTCTAGTTGAGGTTGAAAATCTGAAGACCAGGAACGCTCAACGGTGGGTACCGATAAATGATGCACAATTAGTAGACTTTCCAATGTTAGATATTGAATACCTAAAGATGTTAACCGTTGGCATTTATCAAATAAAACTAGCACCCGCATACGTGCAGGATAACGTACAACGAAATGACGATGAACAATTCCATATTGACATGCTACGGGACGCAAACCGTCTGCCACAACCGGGATTACTGAGAGTGAGAATTTATTCTAGGTTTCGCAATGCAGCGAAATATCAACTTTGGATTACGTATAGACCCAACGATGATAACGAGGTAGACGATGGCATGGACGGAAACATGAATGAGGAAGTTTCACCAATATTAGGTTATTATTGTACCTGTAAGTCTGGTACTCGTACACTTGGTACTTGTGCACACATAAGCAGCATTTTGTGGTATTTGGGTTATGCTAGATACCAGGAAAACATTCACTACCCATCAACCAGACTCATCCAAACCGTCGCTGATGCAGGCAACCGACCACTTCCAAGAAATGATCATATGCCTTAAGTTTAAGTTCTAAACATACGCTAAGATTAATAACTCTTAATAAAGATTAATAACAGCGACTTTTGCGTACTTTATTTATTGCCTATATCGATGACTAACGCGTGCGCGCGCGCGCGCGCGTGTGTGTGTGTGTTTATGCGGGATTCTTAAATGGTTGTCACACAAAATACCAATCCACGGACACACAACGAAACCGAGAATGTTTATATTTCGGCTGCAGCTTTAAGACCTAATTACCCATTATTCTATTCTTTCGATTCGAATATCTCGGAAACTAGCCATTATTGGTCCTTCAACCTATGAGAACATTTGATCAGGACCATTTTATCTACATCATATTCAAATTTCAGCCAAATCGACTGGGATCTATTTCCCATATGTTTTGTCCGAGGTCCTTTATTTATTTATTTCACAAATATAATAAAAAAAAAATTTTTTACTTTCTCTTTACGTTAAAATTAATCTAATTATTAAAATATATTTTCAGACAGCATCAGATATAATACCTAGTATACAAAGAAGAAAAGAAGAATTAAGGATCGCAGGGTTAACTTTTCAACCAACACCAATATTTGTTGGAGAGTTAATAACACTACATGCTTCGTATGTTGCCACTAACGATGTACTATATAAAGTTGATTCATCGCTTGAAGCAATAGATTTATGCTTCCGTATTTACATGGCATTAGATTGTGCCTATCCAGAACAAGCTTCATCTTTGTGAATTTTTATACAAAGTCCTGCTTTAATATTCATCTACAAAGTGATTTTTGCAATCGATCTCTCAATGGTCTAATATGAGAAGTAGAAGCATTATTTTCAAGTAATAATTAAAATAATTGCTAATAATTCATTCTAATATTTTATTAATTATTAAGTATATTTCTTAAAATCAGATAAAATATGTTTATTTGTGTGGAATGTGTTAATTCTTTTTTCTCTTCTAATGTTTTTTTACGTCATATGTCATTATCACATCAGTCTCTCTCTGTATTTAAATGTGGTGATAGATCGTGTCTACGAACATATTCTTCATTTGAATCTTTTCGAAAACATATAAAATTAAAACATACTATAAATGAAAAAAAGAATTATTTACAACAAAAGTGTTATGAAAATATCAATACTGAAACATGTATATCTATGTCAAATTCATCAATCAGTACCGATTTAACTAATTATTCATTTCAAAATGAGTGTATATTCGATGTATTTTCTGATACAACTAATAATAATTTCAGTTTAATTTCTCATACAAATAATACTAATTCTATAATTAATTTCGATAAAAACTCTAATAGCAATAATGTTGACAGACATATAAATTTTGCTGCAAAATTATATCATTATCTTGATATTCCACGTTCCTGGGCAGCGATCATGTAATTTCACGTGGAAAGTTTCACTTTTCACAATTCCGCTCATTCAGATTCCGCGTGAACTTTTCCGAGCGATCATGTATGAAGGAAAATGTGAAAAGTAAAATCACTAAACATGTCACCACATCCATAAAGAAATACCTATTATCATTATGATGATAAACTGCGACATCTCGATATAACTACCTTATTTCCAATATCAAATGTTTGCTCACACTTATTAAAATAATTCATTTACTCACGCATATATATAAGACGTTATAGATATTACTCGATCACTGCATTATAATTCCCTATATTTCCACCTTTCCGCTCACAAATTTCATGGCTAACAAGTTCACGTGAAAACTTTCACGTTTCCATAGTTTGAAAGTTACATGATCGCTCAGTTCACGTAAAAGTTTTCACTTTTCATGATTCCGCCCTAGGGAAAAGTTACATGATCGCTGCCCAGGACTGAAAGTATTATAAATGATACTGGTCAATTATTTAAAGATGTATAAACGTTGCGCCCTTATACGCATCGTTCCCGGCAACAACACCCAGCCGGATGCCGCTGCATCAAGCCTGCGATACGGCGATGAGGGCGCGATGCGCCCGATTATATTTTTTAAGAAATTCAAACATAATTCACAGGGATAGCAGCCGCCGAAACCGCCAGTCTCGTCGGAAAATGCCGACCGTCGCCGGGGACCGCCGATCGGAAATCTTCTCTCCCACGAGAAGCCGATCCGAGAAGCAATACCGGACTTGGAGCCGTCCTGACACAAAACTTCCCGGAAGGCGAGCGCGTAATAGCGTATGCAAGCCGAACGCTCAACCCGGCAGAGCGAAATTATAGCGCGACGGAGCTCGAATGCCTCGCCGTTATTTGGGGAATTCGTCACATGCGAGATTATCTCGAAGGATATCCGTTCACAGTTATTACCGACCATCAGTCACTGCGGTGGCTGCAGAAACTCGATGCCCCCACGGGACAACTCGGACGCTGGGCATTCGAGTTCCAACAATACGACCTCAAAATACGGTATCGCAAGGGCACCCTGAACCGAGTAGCCAACGCCCTGTCCCGCCAACCAATCACCGCCGCCGCAAACACCGTTACGCATTGCCCGTGGTATGACAAACTGCTCGCTAACGTCTGCGAGAATCTGCGAGATTACCCCGACTACGAGATAACGGGCGGAAAGTTGTACCGGCACATACTCCACGACCCCGATTTCAAAGAAACGCCCGCCGAGCATCAATACCTTACGAAAAATACACTGAAATTTTCGGTGTTAACCGTCAATTTCGATGTTAGTTTAGGGTTTACCTTCAATTTTGGTGTCACATTTCGAGTGTTACATTCAAATACTTGGGTGTGATCTCCATTTTGAGTATCATTTTCAGTGTTACTGTCAAATGATTCAGTGTTGATTGGGTGTGACCATTAACTTAGGTGTATTAGTTAAGTATAACCGATGCTACCATCAAATAATTGAGTGTCGGTTGGGTGTGATCTCCATTTTGAGTGTCATTTTTGGTGTTACTGTCAAATGATTCAGTGTTGATTGGGTGTGACCATTAACTTAGGTGTATTAGTTAAATGTAACCGATATTAACATCAAATAATTGAGTGTCGGTTGGGTGTGATCATTATGCGTATTCGGACACAAAGCTTTGGATATATGTCGATGCAATATTTGTGTGACGCATGATCGACACTATAATCCAGTTAGAATTAAATTACATCAGTGTCGAAAATATTTACTGACATCGAAATCGATGATCGTAAAATTATGTAATGCAGTAATAGTAGTAATACATTTCTGCGCACTTATGGAAATGATTTTAATACGAATTTGAATAAAATAAGAAATCGATTTTAATCAATTATTTGTTATTTGTGAATTTTATTATTTGATGTATCATTTTATCCTATAATATTCGATGAAAAATAAGGATAAACTGATACGTCATGCGCATTACACTTGCGGAAATGATACATACACTAATACATATATTAATACATACACTATCATATAAACACATAAACCATCTGTTTTTAATATTTCCATTGAACAGATATATCACAATTATACAGATGTTGACATATACAGATTCGTGGGTCATCAAAGTACAGCAGTTCCCGTACGATTGTCAAGGTCAAGCATGCGAGGTCGTGGTACAACTTCGGATGGGTGACCGTTTGGGAAGCATCATGAAAAAAAATTAATTCTCGAATTTAGAGGAAAATTTTTTTTTCACGATTTTATTCTAAAATTGATGTGCTAATTATTAATACTTACTTTAACAATCTAACAGAATTGACACCATTTACGTGATAACTGCACTATAATTTTTTGGTGTTTTTTTTTTGGTGTTTTTTGGCCGGTTAACGCCCAAATGGTGTAAACGCCGTTTGGCTGGAATTATGCTATTCTTCTTTGGTGTTTTTATCGGTGTTTTTTTGAGTGTTTTTTTCGTAAGGGATGGAAGGAGTGTGTGCCGAAAAACCGCCGCGTCGAAATACTCCGCGAGAATCACGACAAGGCAACGGCCGGGCACTTAGGCATCGTGAAGACGATCACCCGAACCATGCATATATATTATTGGCCCGGCATGGCACGCGAGATAGCCAAGTATGTCCGAAATTGCCGAAATTTCCAGCAGCACAAAGTCCTGCAAGCGAAACCCGCCGGCATGCTGCACGCGACCGCCACGCAACGACCATGGCAACACGTTACCGTTGATCTGATGGGACCCCTCCCCCGCTCGAAAAAAGGACATACTTGGCTGCTAAATATGCAGGACCATTTTTCCAAATGGGTAGAACTCCGACTTCTCCGCCGCGCGACCGCAGTAACACAAGCGATAGCAGAGGACGTAATATTGCGACACGGATGTCCTGAAATCGTTATTTCCGACAACGGCACACAGTTTCGATCTGCTCAGCTTGAAAAGTTCCTAACATCGCATTCGATCCGTCACACGTATACGCCAGCACATACGCCGCAATGCAACCCGGTGGAAGGAACGAACCGATCGATTAAAACCATGATCACGCAGTACGTGGATCGGAATCACCGAAACTAGGATGAGCGCATCCCGGAGTTCCGATTCGCGTACAATTCCTCGCATCATGATGCGACAGGGTATACGCCGGCATACTTAAATCTAGGTCGCGAGCTGCTGTCACCTGTGAATTCCGCGAACAGCCGACAAGGCTCCGCCCCGCCGCCCGATATCGCCCGCCAACACCTCGAGGAAGTTTTCGAGCTAGTTAAAATAAATTTGGCACAAGCTTTCCAGCGGCAACAACGCTACTACGACCTAAGGCGTAGAGTGTGGAAACCGCGAGTCGGAGACAAAGTCTATAAAAAAGAGTACCCGCTATCGAAAAAGAATGCCGCTTTTAATGCCAAGCTCGCACCGAAATTCAAAGGACCGCTCGAGGTGCGGCACGTGATACCGCCGGTTATATTTGATTTACGTGACCGAAGCGGCCGATGGCACCGACATGTACATGTACACGATTTAAAGCCCGCCCCGACCGACGATGATGCCCGACACCGACCGACCAGACCCGAATACCGACGAAGACCGGCCTGACGCGTTCGAGCCTCCGAGCACGAGGAG